CTGATAGCGACTGATAAGAGCACTTACCAGCTGAATTTAACTCCTGTGGCATTTACGATGTATTTATGATTACGACTATTATATAGATTACGACCGCTACCCAGCAAGGTTTGTAACTCGATGGAAGATCAAGGTTACTTTATGCTTTGATATCATTTACGACAAAGCTCATCCGACCGCCAACAATTTGGGATTCTCAACTAATGATGTACCCGTGGAGGAAAGAAGGTTCAGCGATAACGAAACCTTATGATGGTGTTATTATCACTTGAGAACATTTGTGAGTACTACGCAATTCTTCGGTTGCCTATCAGTTCAACCTTTAATTGTTCATAATTTTCAGGATGAAGAGCAACCGATTGACACTTTTGTTCGTAGGCGTAAGCGTGGGCATTTGTTACCCAGCACACACAAACACATCAACAGACACACTTAGCCGATTATATAAGTAGGATACTTACGTTGCCATCTCTGGCTATCAAAAGATTCTGGGGAAGATACAATGCCGCATGGCTTTAGAAGATTTCATTGCTCTGTCCAGGCATGTTTTTTTGTTTCTTGAAAATTGTCAGGAAAGGGAAACCCTGTATCGAGCAGGAGGCGCGCATTTGTAGACATTTTTCTTGGCTTCCGCTCTCTGAGCGCTTTGGTGATAAAATTTAGGAAGCCCCTCAGAGCTAGTGCAAAATGGAATCAGTCTTTTGTTTCTGTTCTGAGCATCGTATCCAATCTTCCCCTACCCTGGGTCGGAACATTTATCAGACAAAGAGGGTTACATGAAAATTTTCCCACTGTCCTGCTTTTATAAATATGTACGCTGCACAGTCCAGCGACTTCTGTGTCAAGGTCTAAATATTCATTGCATCAGTTCAAACCTTGTTCAATAGCTCAAGGCATTGCAGTCAGTTCGAGTAGGAAAGGTGTGATACATCTCCAAGAGTCGGGTATTTGTGACAAAATGACTTTTTGATGTCTTCAACTGCAGAAATTTTTTTGTTGGGATTTTACGGAAGGCTCACTATTTTTTGTTGAGCTATGGAAAAGTAAAAGATCAACGCTTGTTCATAATTTTCCACAAAAGCAATGAGCGGAAAACACAAAATCTGCGAGCTCTCTTTATGTCAACGTATGCAGAAGACCTTAGGGTTAGAGAGATGGAATCTCGAAAGCATGTAACAAGAAAATGCTAGAACAGCGCATGACGATGTGTTGAATATTCCGACATTGACTTGACTGCTGGGAATCAAACTGCTGAAAGGATACGCTTAGGCGAATTTGCTATTTTTATTCCTTTATTGACAGTTTTTTTAACAGGGACTTTTTATAACTTAATTATGATATGTTGTGGAAGGGGTTTGAGCAATGGACAAAAAATTAGTCTCCGAATTCCGATCAGAAATGAACTCTCTTTTCCTGAGCAATGTATCTTATACATCTCGCTCCTCATCCCTTACCTACTTGATTTTTTATTTATCACAAATCTGACCGCCCGGCTAGCGCTGAGCTTCCCTCCTCCCTACGGTCGGGTTGTAATATACGCGAATCGCCCACTCATTTAGAACAAGTGATATTTCTCGGAACACGAAGTTCGACAGAGGGCTAATAGGGCATGCAAGATGTATTCAAAGTGAGCCGATGCTTATGTCTATGATTAGAGGTTTCAATCTGTTGCTGTTCATCTTAAAAATAAAGACCCATTGAAGTTTCAATTGGTAAGCAACCAAGCCCTCAATGGTGCTTACGAATGTTTGTCGAGCCATACCATTACCGAATGTCTTTATCGATAAAGCTTTCACTTCACGGAAAGGCATTAAATGAGAATCCAGGGTTATCAGGGGTCGAATAAGCCCTGTCAGTAATGATAACAAAGCGCAAAGAAACAGTGAGCGGTCGTAATCTGATAGCAAGAAATGAACCAATTTTCATCCCCTTAAAAATTAGTACTCTTAGTATCGCTATCACTGGACTTACCCATCTTATCAAATGGAACATATCAACGAGTCAAAGCTAGATCGTAAATAACAAATGTGTTAGGGTTTAATTGCTAAACGGACCTTGATTTCTGAAGCATCTTCCACAGTGTTCATAGCCTGCCTACTCTACTCTCAAGTCGGTTATGGTGGGTTGCAGGTTCCAACCCCGCCCCCTGTGGGCAGAGTCCGAACCTGCAACCCACCATAACCGACTTACTGACTGCCGACTGTATTGCTTTCAAATTCGAACGCTCTAGGTCTACGTGACAGGAGCTATGATAGTTATGATTTATGACCCCCCCCCCTTCTGTAAGCGGGGTCCGATTCTGCCGCACACAACAAGTGTTCCTAACCTGCCACCTGTATTCCTACCAATTTTAAACGCCCTAGTGCCAAATTGACTATTTTGGCGCAAACCATGCCCCCTGTAGGCAGACTGCCACCCACGATAAGCGGTCCTGTCCTTTCACCTGTACTCCTTCCAAATTTGAACGCTCTAGGATCAAAATGACAATTTTCGCGCAACCCCTTCCTCTGACGGTGTAGTCGGTCCTTTTAACCACCATAGATATTCCTATACTGTTTCCTGTAACCCTAGCAAATTTGAACTTTTTGGGACCACGTGGATTATGCCGAATTGATGCTTAAATCAGAGCCCGTGTTTAACACCCATGTCCTGCCGGCAGTGGTGTATGGAAGCGAAACATGGAGTACAATCATAAAGGAGAAAAAAGACTTGCATCCACTCGAAGAGCAATGGGACGAGCGATGTGCGGTGTCACGTTGATGCATAGAAATCCTGCTCGCGAAATTCGATGGCGAACTGGCGTCAAAGATGTGATTGAAAATATCTACGACTCGAAAAAACGATGGACAGGAAATGTAGCTCGTTTGAATGACAACCTTGGACGTTCCGTATGACCAATTGGTACCCCCGCAACGCAAAAAGACCGCGAGGAAGACCGTCGGCCTGGTGGAGTGATCCTTTCAGTGAACAATTCGGGCAGAGGTGGCAACAAGTGGCAAGGAACCGAAATGGATGGCATAGATGCGTCCTGCAATGTTGGCCTTTAAGAGCGGATATCAAGGTATTCAAAGTAACGCCTCTGATTAGAATCTGTGTGTCTTGAACTGTCGCTGTTAATGTTGAAAATAATGACCCCATTGAAGAATTAACTGGTTGGAATTCAAAGCCTTGAATGGTACTCACAGATGTTATCGAGTCATGATAATACCATCATCAAATGTCTTTATGAATGTAGCTCCTTCCTCTATACATCACTAAATGAGAATTCAAGATTGTTAGCGGTCGGATTAGTCTTGCCATGAATGATATCAAAACAGTGAGAAACCGTGATCCTTCATTGAATCGCAAACTTTGCTGGGTACGGTCGTAAGCAAATAGCGAACCAAATATCATAATCGGTCCCTAACAGTGCATATCAAAGAATCAAAGCTAGATCGTAAACAACAAAGGCGCTAGGATTCAATTGGTGGTTGGGTCTTGTTCTCTAAAGCTTCCTCTATCTCAGTGTTCCCATCTTGCACCCCCCCCCCTTCTCCACGGGATCTGGAGTAATGGTTTTTCGCTTAGCATATATTTCGCACAAATCCCGCCTCAGTGGGCGTAGTCCGGTCCTACTATCCACCATAAACGCTCGCATACTGCCGCCTGTCTTCCTAACAAGTTTGAGCGCCATAGAACCAATTCACGCACACCTTCTATGGACGGGTCCGGTCCTTCCACCTACCATAGGTGTTCCCATACTACAGCCTGTGTCAATGGGTGCTTTGAGGCAGTATGACATGGACCGCCGCGCTTACTGAGCATTTTCTCTACTCACGCTCAAAAGCACCTACACGTGGCTCGTGCACCTAGTCACCGGGGATGAGAAGCTGATTCTCTACTATAACGTTCATCGGCGTGCTCAATCGGTTGACAAAGGTGCGGATGCAGAAGACTTTCCTGAACCCAGTGCACATGCCAAGAAGGTTGTGTGGAGCGTTCACGGTGTCGAATACTGAGAGGTGCTAGACGGAGGACGTACAGTGACCGCAGACGTCTACATCAAGCAACTGAGGGATCTGAAGACGAATCTCGGAGCTACACGTTTATAGCAGCACAAAGTTTACTTCCAGCACGACAACGCTCGGCCTCACATTGCAGCTGAACTGAAGCTGAAGCTGAACTAATGAGTTCCGGGTGGACACTCTTACCACACCCACCACAGTTCCCAGACTTGGCTCCCTCAGATTACCACTTTCCCCATTTCCAATGTCATCTGGATGGTCAAGACTTTCAAACTCGCGACAACATCAAAATGGCACTCAAACAGTTCTTCAAAGGCGTTTTGTCCCCAGCGTTCTGGATCAAGGGCATCTATGATCTGCCCAAGCGTTGGCAGAAGACCATCGACGCCAATGGGGGATACTTCAAATGATTCGCAATTGTCGTTCAAAAATTGTAAGATAAGTTTGATCATTGTCAGTTTGTCCGAGGACTCTTATTTATGTTTAGTGCAGCCTTTCCAAGATTTACAATTTTATTAGGCTAACGTTTCGGCTAACAAGGAAGGTCTTTCAGGGCGTGGGACGCTTTTTGAAAATGGTTTTTTTGCGTGGTATAGGGGCATGAGCACTGAGTATAGAACTATGGTCCATTTCCGCTAAATGGCCTTCTGAATGCCAAAAAACGACTGAAAACAATTTTGTCAGAAATCGCCGTTTTAAGCCACTCAGCGTCATTTGTTTCATTCATGGCGTTGACTGTCCGTACAGTAGAAGGCGCCAGTTGACTGCGCATTGAAAATAACGTGAAAGGTAGCCAAGAAAGGGGGTCACATGTTGAAAAGTGCGGGGAAGTTTCATATAGGCTTTCCACGGTTAAGCTTCCAGCAGCGTCGGATGGTGTGGTGGGTAGCGATGTGGACTTCAAGGAAGGACTATTAGGATGGGTTGATGGTTCGGAAACTGCGGGCTTTGCCGTTTTTGCATTTTATGCTGCCACCTTCAGATTGGCTCCATATTGCACCAGGGCCAAAGCAAGTGCCTGACTGGTCATGGTCGTGACCAGGACCAGCCAGGCACACCTCTACAAACCGTTAGAATTTGTTGTGTGACGCGCTATCAGTGGAGGAGCTTCCAGGCTTCACACTTCCAGGAGTATAAAGGTGCCTCTTAAATTCACACTAAATAAGTGCTGTTATGGGGGGTCCGAACTCTATAATGTGGTTCCTATTTGATGGAAGCTGTCCTCGACCTCGTTC